AGCGGAAAAGTTACGTAGCTTTTTTGTAGTTGATCGCAAACTCAGGCTTGCATTGGTTATTCCTCGCGATTGGACTGCGTCAAATAAGTTGGATTGAAAAATGTAAGGAACCGCTGAGGCGAAAACGCAACAGACAATCAGAAAGTACGAGTAAATGTCGAAGAATGTCGGAGTATCGTGGTGGAAACTACCAGAGAAACATTGGAACTTTGAGCCAGCAGAGTGTATAAACTTTCGACTATTACTAGCGGTGGCGTAGAAATCGCAAAGGCGGAACTCCCGATGTTAGTGATGCAAACGTAAAAATAGTGCGCCCATTGCATCTACGGGTTATCAGCGTTGAAGCATGCTAGAATCGGATTCCAACGTGAAATTTCTTTCTCACAGAATATTTCAGAATCTTGTCAGACGAAAACTCAGTCCAATGGCGCGTATTATTTAATATAAAATGTTTTACAATTCTAGCATCTTCACATTTTACATTTACAAAATAAATCGAACCAATCTTACTTTGAATTACATATAATCACGTAAGATTTATTTTATATTTTCATAATTTACTAAATATTTTTACAATATAATTAAGTAGAGAAAGATTGTTCTTTATTGTTCACCTAATTTTATGTTAGCTTCCATTTTTTCGCAATTTTAATTTTGATCCTTTGTGCTTCTATATTGTAGTCGAACTTGATATAATGCGTTAGCATAATTTTTCAAGCATTTAAATCTGTCCGCAATTATAATTGGCAAACTATATTTTTAAAATCTCCGTAAAAATTCTTTCAAGTAATAAGAATTTTTTGATTCAGTTAGACCAGCCGATTATACGGTAAAAAATATTGTGTATTTGTGTTGGAAACGATCTACTTACGTTCTTGTTAACCGTTTGTATTGAATTTTTTAAAATATTCGAGTGTTAATTTAATATGACGAGATTATGTTATTTAAGGATTTTGTGTGAAATTGATATTCAACGTTTCTTAGTATCAAAATGACACAATTTATGAGTAAGTGAATTAGTAGATAACATAAAAATGTATACAATATAATTAATAGATTAATGCCCAATTTCTTTACTTCCGGATAATTTGCGAATAACCTTATCCAGGAGATATCTCCATTGTATTCTGGGAGATATCTCTTGGATAAAGTTATCTAGAGATGAAGAAATTGAGCATAAGTATTATAGCTCGGTTGAGATAATCAATTAATGTCTATTCGAGCAAACACTGGGTGGCAATGTAAACATAATTTATTCAAATAAACATATCAAATACGCAACCGTTTCGACCCTGATTGATGGATTTTAAAATGTGAATTCTAAGGTGAATAAATAAAATACATATTAATTTAACATATTATAAATGCTAATTATACTGAAAAAAAATATACTTCCACAGTTTTGTGGTAATTTTTTTTACACAACATCTGTGTTGTCTAACATTTTCGTCTAATGTTAAATGAACACAAAAATTTGAGTAAACCGTTTGGAACATGTGAAATGTATTATGTTCGACACAAATTTTCTAATAGTACATGTAGATAAAATTAAGGATAAAATATTTAAACTTTGCTTAGTTGTAAGAAACAGCTTGGCGGCAAAGAATTATGTAATTTAAGGAAATTTGATGATCATTATCTTTTTAGAGACTATAATGGGTAATGAATCTCCCTAAAAATGTTTTCTAGCAAAAAATTGACAATGTATTTATCATTAGATTCGTCATTTAAAGTAAGAATAAATGTTTTATGGAAGAGTTTGTATACTTAAAAAGAAGTGCAAGACTGTGTCAATTGTAGTTTAATTCAGAAATCCGATCGTATATTAATACTGAGCGTCAGATTAGAATACCGTTGTTATACGATCGTCATTATCGTTCGACACGCGAGCATGCGAAGAAACACGCGACACGGAAGAGCGGAGCGTAATGTCGAGACGAGGAAAAGACTGCACAAAGGAGAATCGAGCTATTGGAGCGTTAACCTACGTCCAGACGATCCCTTTTTCTAATTAAAAGAAAAAGAGAGTCTCGCTCTGAGATATTTTGTTTGCTTCATAAAAATGACTAGCAAACGAAGATTGGAATGTTTCATAATGTCTAATTCAGGCTACGCGGTCAGAACTTTCAACGACTATAAAGTCTCCTACCTTCTTCTGTTTCGAAAATATGCGTGAAAATGGTTATTAAAAAAATTAAATTTATTTTGCAATTGTGTTCTTTCTGAATGCATATATCATATTTCTACGTTATATGTCATTCAAATCCGAAAAAAACCTTACTCTACAACAAACACTATGGATCTCCCAAACCTAATCAAAATTTCGTTTGTTGCGTATACGAAGAAAAGAAAAAAAGAGAAAGTTTTATTTTATAACTTAACAAGATATAAAACATTTTGACATTGCAAATTATAACTTATATATTATAGATATATCCCTAAATCTCAAAACAATCAAAATAGAAAAAAAGAGAGTCTATAAATATTAATCTGAACCCCGAAGTTATAGCCTATCAAAGATCTTTCAGACCCATAACGTGTGCTTTCTGAATTTTCGTAAAGTATGTGTTTTAAGGTTCATTATATTAAATTTTTTCTTTTCGATATCACTTTGATGCGCTCCGTTATACACAGACATACCGCATCGCGCAGCCGATTCGACAGTCATATATCACGTATTTCGGACTGTAGCACACAAACGCGTCGTCTTCCTGAGCGTGTCAAAATACACGATAAACGGCCGATTTAATTTCTTTTCCGTAAAAAATATCTAGTTGTAGCGCCCGTTTGTTCTAAATCCGTTTTGAGTACACAATCAGGCGTACTTGTCATCTTTGCACCAATATAAAAATATTGGTGGTTACGATTTTGAATAAATCTGTCCTAATTAGCTCTTATCGTTTTACTTTGACGTTGCTTCTGGCTTCATTTGATGAAGAAAAGGGGAACGTTCCGTAGGTCGCTCCGGACCGAAAAGACAGAACAGTATCCTCCCGCATACGGTCCTCTGTTGACTGAACTGAGTTAAGTCAACGCCGCCCACGGTCTGGCACGCGGCCTCCAGCGCGCGCCAAGACGAAGAGGGATGTACCGTGCGAGGGGATCAGAGATAGGGAGGACGTCATCGGGGGACGTGGACCGTACGAGGAACGGAGACAGAGGGTACACCGAGATGGAGTGCGAAGTGACGAGGCTGAAGGATGAGGTGCGACGACGACGGAACGAGCGGAACTGCGAGAGAGGCGCGACAGAGCGAGAGTGGCGGCGAAGGGTTCAAGTATAAGGATACCGAGGCATGCGCCGTCCTATCATATTGATCTCGCCATAGTAACGATTCTCTCTTCTCCGACGATGTTGGGATGCACTATAGCCGTGGGAGGAAGAGGGATGGAGAGAAAGCGAGGAGCTGAGCGGGAGGGCTCGGAGGAGAGGGCGAGAGAAAGAGAGAGAGGGAAGAGGGCAGGCAGGTCGTACCGCATGGTGTACCACGCTACCCCACGATGCGCGGATGTGGGCCGCCGAGGGTTGAACGCGAGGGAGAGCGTGGGATGAAGCGCCGATGGGATGAAGAGAAAGAGAGTTACTGGATAGTCGTAGGGGGAGAAGATATGTATATATGACGAGAACAAGAGTGAGCTGGTGAGAAAGAAAGAAGAAGAGGGATGGAGAGAGGAGAGAGAGAGAGAGAGAGAGAGAGAGAGAGAGAGAGAGAGAGAGAGAGAGAAGGAAAGTGAAGAGACGGAGAGGACTGCAAGAGACGGACAGCGTCGGTGATCGAGATAGAACGATGATACGGGAGGTGTAGAATGATGGAGAGGGGTGGGATCTAGACGCGCACGGCGACTAGCAGGTATACATGCTGGACCAGACGAAGAAGATGGATAAGAGAAAGATAGACAGAGAAAGAGCGAAAGAGAGAACGAAAGAACGCGGAGGTATCACGAGTGACCGAGAGAGAGAAGGTGGTGAACGGTGGCGGTAGGCTACCACAGAGCTAGCGCCAAAGCGGGTTGAAGCGGCGGTACCGCGCGGCGCTGCAGCTAAATGAGAATCAGTCCAGCGTTGGTCGCCGGCGAGGCCGCACCTGACAACCCCCTTGATGGGAGAGAGTGATACACGGTAGGCCCCGCGATCGAGATTTAGAAAGGTCTATTTGACGCGCGCTTATATTCGTTATAGCGGGAGGGAAAGATCAGGGATGTTCTCGCGGTGCTGCCGATTGCACGCGTTCCGAGACCCGCAGTACCAAGGGTGAACCACTTTCCCCTCCGTTATTCACCCTGACCCGATGCTGCGGCAGCAGCAGCCGAGCGAACGCGGGAAGCTCGACGTACGGGACGAACCGACGATCGGACTGCGGATGCGTTCCTGAGTCCATTTTCTACATACACAGCAAATATATATCAAGCCTCGTAACATCACTTGCGATCACTGGTGATCAAGGCTCGACTGATATATCCCCCTGATACCGTTCGTGACCGACGTTGTTGTCGGGGACTATTCGTGAGATCCGAGGGAGAGAGGGACCCGAGGTGGTAAACGGGATCAGCAGGCTAATCCAAATCGGAAGAGATGTCCGCGCTGCCCGACGATGTCGCGTCGTGGTGCAAACTGTCCAGGCCATAGTGCACGCAGGTTGTACCATCCGGTACGGGATAGCAGCGTACGACAATATCGGAACATTGCTGCGTGGAGGCGGTCACGTGCCCCCAACGGAGCTAGGACGATGCACCTGGCGAGCCCGGTGCAGGTGCGACCGGGCGAGCCCTGAGGATTCGCGATTGCTCCGTTCCCATCGCGCCGAGCGGCTCGCCGTCGAGGACAGCTGATCTTTCGGGTGGTTCAGGTCGAGGTTCGTCCTCGCTCGACGCGCCTGGCAGCCACGTGCGAGGACGAGCAGACGAGCGGCGGTGAGGCGGTGGCGGCGGGGAGGAGGTGGTGCTCGACCGGGTCATCGAGGAAGAAGGTGCCTCTGCGTTCTGGCACCTTTTCGAGCAAACATGAGACGCTCGTGGACGCTCGTCGCAGCGATAGCCCTGGCTGCATCGGGTGAGTGACTCCACTTTCAGGAGAGTGCCTCTGCCATTAGTCCGACAATGTCCATCCACACGAACCTTAATTGCGACGTGAACTCGTCCACCGTATGTCTCGCTTAACCGGCTCGGTTCTCTCCTTTTCTGCCAGGACGTTCCTTCGAGTTCTCCCTGTGTCCCACTCCTACTCGTCCCTTCCACAAGTGTCCGTCGACGTCACGCGTCACTCGTTGCTCCGAGCTTCCATTTTTCTTTCTTTCCGATACTGTGAACGCACGATAAAGCCATAGAATAGATCATTGTATATATTTTATAGGTATAGCATCGTTTAATTATTTTAGCTCCGTTTTCGACAGTAATTAGAACCGTTGCCGAATACCTGACCATTCTGAACAGTAGCCAGTCATTTTTTTGGGATCGATGTCATAGTGATTCGTTTCTATCACGCGATTTCTTATTGTACGATTCGTAGCAATTTGTATGATGACTCGTTGGACTTACGATCGAAAATGTATCAATTCGCATTGGTGAATTTTGATTTCTAATGCAGTCCAACAACTTAGCTCAAGAACTTGCTGCTCTCCAGAATTTTACGAATCTTGAATCTTCATGGTCTTGGTATTCATGATCTGTGTCCATGCGAAATCATGGAAAATCGGTCTGTTCATCAAACATATACGTGAAATTCCTCAAGTTTGAAGTCTTCAATTTCGCATGAGTGGTTGTAATTAATCATCTGTTCGTGCAAGTTGTGAAATTCGCGCGAGGCTTCTATTCGTAAACAGATAAATTTCTTGAAGTTTTGTGCAAAGAGATTGTCATCAGCAAATTTTGTTTATACAAATATGCTTGTCACAATCCTGTTCCTTTCGTTCGAATCAGATCTCGAAATTCTTTAATATTATTTGCCAAATCACTAGAGGACGATATTCTTGAGCCAAGAAAAGCTCTTCAATTTTGCTGTTTATATACCTACGAGAAAACTTCTATTTCGCGATGATCCCTGTTATTTGTTCGCCGAAGCTTAGATTCGAATTCCGTTTTCCGAATATCGCGCCGGACGGTTAAATATCAAGGTTACCGTCCGGATTACGAGGGAGGGCGAGTTTCGCTTTCCGGCGTGGATGTTCATCGCGATCCTTCATCTCTTCGACGTCGCTCTCTCACTTCCGGGATCGGCGCGAGCGCCTGGTCGAGTTTTGAGCTTTGAATGGAGTAGGCAGATGTAGAGCACCCGCAATCCCGGGAGGAGAAACAGGAGAGGAGGCAGGAGTGACAAAGGGGGATGGGGAGAGAGGGTGGACGCGGCGTTTCAATATTGACGTCAACCCGCGACGCTTCCAGAGCGACGCGATGTCTCGCGCCTCGTTAGCGGCACGTTGATACCACCAGCTGAAAGTCAAAACGCGAGCGCGTGCTCGCTAATCGTCTTTGCATAAATATTTGCGCGTTACAATCATGTTTTTATTCTATTGAACCGCGCGCGCGTGAGTACGTCGTCTTGACGTTCCTTCGCGTTGCCTTTGCCTCTACCTTCTTTAGAAATGAAAGAATAACAAGCGTCGTTATCTCTGGTTCAATCTCGGAAATGAAATGTATAGCCTCTAAAAATTAAGCAAACAAACGTAGACTATTGCGACACATTATTGTACAGAAGGTATTGTGATATACCTTCAAAATTATAATTGAAGATTCGTATTCTTTTTATATCTTCTGGTCTAATAATCTTCTAAATAATCTTCTAAAAAGGTTGCATTGTCTAAAGGTAGAGAGAGAGGAAAATGTTGCAAAAATTCTCTTTCAGAAATATTTATTAATAACGAGATTCTTTCTTCAGGTGTGTTAATAACGAGATACATATTTTGAACTGATGATTTTTTTCTTCAAAAATATTATTGTGAAAATTAAACGTTCAGTTCAACAACTGATATATCATTTAAAAATAATTTTTGAATCTCTTTCGAGTTTTAAATTTATTATATGATCGCTCGTGTCGTTGGAAGCAGTTGTAATAAATTTGAACGGAATGTAAATTGCCGGCTCCCTCTCGTCTCGCTTTGCGAAACGTTAATTAATTACAACGTGTCAGTTAAAAATAATAATCGTTCGAAATTCTCGTTCCGCTCTCAATCGCGCTGTAACGCCGTGAATATTTTTAAGTTCGAAAACAACATGAAAATTCCATTATGAACAAGTATGTTGACCGAGATCGAATAGAAACATTCCCCGCTGCAGTCGCAGCGCGTCAAAAGCTGTCTCAGCCTGCACTAGCAAATTGTGCATGTTAGCCCCGTGTAAAATGTAAATTAGGAAGTTACCCACCTCGTCCACGCGTGTCCGGAGGTCGTTCTGTCATGACGTATCGTGTTGATTAATTAGCATCCCACCGCCGGCTGGCAACGCAGTTGGCCGAGCTGGTGCATCCGGCGCCGTTGCAGACGTCGTCGGTCGGAATGGAAAATGGTGGTAAAAATCGTAGTCATCCCACGCCGCAAGAAAGCACGGGAAGTGTTCTTTTCTCAAAGTGATTAATGTGTGCTTTCATCTGGTCTAGACGATCGATTGCTACTCCAAAAAAGATCTTTGGATATTAAGCGAGACACATTTGTACGAAAAATTCTTTTTGGTTTAATAGAAATTTTTTTCGAATTATTTAAAATGTCCATTTTTTATTTTATTATCTTTACTAGCTCATTTGATATTTATCGATCCTTGCGATTTTAATTTTTGTAAACTTGAGCGATTTATGAGATAAATTTCAAGAAATACTTTAATACGATGTGTGCGTTAATCAATTAGAGTTCCATGATGCGAACTATTCGTTCATCTTCGTCGTTTTAGGAGACAACTAATTGCGTTAATGCTGAGCCATTTGCCTTGAATATTTTAAATATTTCTACAGGATATTGTTGTTTTCAAAGAATAGATTTTGTATTGTTTTATATGAGATATAAAAAGTGTTTTTGTCGTTTTTTCCTATCATTGTTGACCCCACGAGAGCATGTTTGTCGAAAGCTTATTTTTTGAAAAAAATATGTAGGTATCTTAAAAAGTAAAAAAGATGCTCGACTTCAAGAAACTGTATATTGCATTTATTCGAATATTAATTTCTACAAAAATGGATAAAAGCTTTCGGATTTATAATTATTTAATAATAAACAATATGGTTGTAAAAGTGCTAAATTAAAAGTTTTAGAATTCGATTAAAAATTCTTTTATTTATTGTACACATTTTCGATTTATTTTCTAAACTCTAAGAAATATCAATTTTTACAATTTGAGATATTTAATTATTTCTGGGAATAAAACTGTCAAACGCAGATTTAGCAAATACGTAAATAACGGGAAGAAATACATAGCGATATGGACTGGAAATTAAATTTAAACCTCCTTATAAATTATGTTACAAATGTATTTTATCATTATTTTCATTTAAACTCTTTTTGTACACTGCCGTTCATAAATTTGAAACACTTGAAATTTTTTTGCAATTTACAAAAACTTAAGTACAGTGAATAGAAAAGTTTTTAAAAAAGGAGAATAGAGCTTTAAATTAGAGTTTGAATTTCGTTTCTATGATATTTTATTCCTAAATTTATATATATATATATATATAAAATTGAAGATTAATATTTTTTTCAACATTCTTGTTAATTTATTGAAGCGCTCTACCTGAATAAAACATTATCGAAATTTAGTAAAAAGATTATGGAAGCAATTTTTTCAAAGAGCATTTTAAAATTTAGAAAGTCTACTTTAAAATGGTACTTTAAATTTTGTCCGATGATGTTTCATCCAAATAGAACGCTTAAAAAAATAACAAACATATTAAAAAAAATATCAATCTTTAATTTTATATATAATTCAGGAGCAAAAGATCATAGACAAAATTCAAATGCTAGTTTGAAGCTCTATTTTTCTTCCTTAAAATTTTCCAAAACTTTATTCCGATTTCTATTCAAAGAGATATTTAAATTTTTGTAAAATGTGAAAAAATTGCAAGCGTTCCCGAATTTATGAATAGTAGTGTATAAATTAGAAAATTCTATGATACATTGTGTCAATTAATTAGAAACATACGTTAGCGAGTGTTCGTTTATCTTCGTTCATTCGGCGAACAATTACGCCTACTGAAGCTTCTGAGAATTGCTGACCTATCCACCTACGCGACACCAGATCGTGCGTTCGTAGTAATTGTAGTAATATAGCAAATGGAAGAAGAATAATGACGAAGCGTAAGATGTTGAAACTTCTTTTGAAGTATTCATATAAATTTTTTATAAGAACATTTTCTATAATTATTTCGTCGTATCAAACATTATCTTCTATCGCTTAAAGTAGAATTTTCAAAATGTAATTTCCCGACGGAATTACTAATGCTCTAAGTATTAATTTCATATGAAATGTTTGTGACGCAATTTTTTTTGAGCTAAACGTTTCTGTAATTAATTCAAAATGATTATATTTACGTAGAATGTTGTAGATGCGATAACTTTTAGACGGTAAAAACTAACATTAATTACATACGCAATTCGATACACTCGTGGAAAAGCAGCATTCCCTTAAGAAAAAGACCTGATTAGTGTTCCAATAAACTGTTTAACTATACAGTAATTGATAATATTTTATCAGTTACTGATGCAATATCATGAGTTATTGATAGAGCTAATTAATTTATTGAAAAACACTAATCAGTTCTTTTTTTCTTAGAGTTATCTTTTATGTTGCTGTTCTATTTATGTTACATGCAAAATATTCGAAAATGAATTTATGATTAGAAATTTTGAATGTAGTTATTCTTGAATATTTCTGTACCTTCTATTAAAAGGAAATGCGATTGACTAGAACTACTAGTGTGCACATTTGACTTTGACAATAACATTTTCACCTTGTAATAGTGTGAATTATTACACCGATCACGTGTTTCGTGTGAAAAGATTGTCGGATATAGAAAGAATAATCCCGAAAGTACGGCTATGTTATTTTTAAACTTCCAGTAATTCCGAAATTTTTGTG